GAAATCCTCTTCACTTCGACTCTCTCTCCTTCGCCCGGTTCGATGGACCGTATATCTCACGCGGTTGTTCGCGCCGCCGACTCGTCGCGGCGGATAATAATACCGCACAATTACCCCGTGGATGCCGGAGTTGGCGAAAGAAGGGAAATAAAATCAGCATAAAGCGAGAGCCGCCAAATGGCGCGGCCTCGGCGCGGCGGGGCCTTCTAATGAAAGCGTGGGCGGCGGCGGTGGGAGGGGAGCGGGAGGCGGCGGTGGCCCTTAAATTAATTCACGATGAATTACGTCCGCGCCAGCTGCGCGGGCAGTTGTGTTTATTTATGGAGGAACTAAGATCTTCTTCCTAGTCCTTAAAGGCGGATTCGCCCTTATAATTTCTCACGGTGACCGAGAGAGAGAGAGAGAGAGAGAGAGAGAGGCGGCCCGCCCTTCTGTCGTTGCCCTCCCGCGTATCGCCGGCGAAAGGCGATAATCGTTTTGGAAGGCATTCCCTGACGAAATAAGAGGGAACGCGTTCGCGGCCTCACACGCTACGCCGGCCTGCCGCCAAACGAGCGCTAATTTTTTTTTTTTTTCGGCCGCCGAGAGAGCGACCATTCATTGGCTCTCGTGAGGACGCTTGAGGACGCTCCGCAAACGGGGCTTTTTTTCCGCAACTGTCCATTTCGACGTACGTTGCAATGACGAATATGGCACGTCGCATATTTTATCGACCGCCGCGGCGGGCCATTAGTTAATTGAAGAGCTCCCGAGAAAAACGTTGCAAACGACAAATTTCAGATGCAATAATTTAGCGAATGCATAACGATAAGATAATGGTTTTCCTAAAATATTACTCGGCACACGTATTTTATTATACATTTCGGAGTAATGTTTGCACGGATACTTTGTAATAATTTCGCCGTTGAAACGTTCCTCCAACATCGTCGTTAGTTCGAAACTGTGTACGATCTACTGCAGCGCGGAAACTTTGTTGCAGTTTTCACTTTGAAATTCGATAGGATAGTGAAAGGATTAACTTTCCCCCGCGCTTTTCATGTTAAAAAAAAGTTTACTCGATATTTTAGGAGTAATTAAGTGTGGCTGAAGCGATCACAGGCGAACAAACCGATCGGGCAGCTCGGGGACAAAAATGGTTTTCCACCGGAGATTGGGCGCGTACGATGCTCCTGCGAGGGAGCTGTCGGCGAGTTTGCGAAAACGAACCGCGGAGCGTAACGAGACGCAATTTCAATCGCCATAAAACTCCAAAATCGAGTACCCGCGGGAACGCCCGATTTATTTAGCAAGTGAATACAACACTGTTCTGGAGCGAGCGGTGCGTGACAACCGATGCGATCGATTTTATTATCCTTCCGCGGTCGTGCTAGATCCACTTTGCGGGGCCGCCATCCGAAAACATGGGGGATGGAGATCCGCAGGCGGAACCAGAACGGCCAATTTTGACACGCCATTAGATCACGACGTTCGCTGTTGCAGCATCAAGTGTAATTAGGCAAATTACTGTAGAAACCGAATATCAAGAGATAGCAATAATTGGAGTGGCTGGCTAAAGCTTTGACCGTAATTAAAAAATTTATCGACATGGAACGTAAGCACGCTATATGATGGAAATATAAAAATATTATTAGTATCGCTTTCTCTCTCTCTCTCTCTCACACACACACACACACACACGCGCGCTTTTTCTCGCTCTCTCTTCTCTCTTACTTTCTGTTTTTCTCTCGCACACTTCCTTTCACACACATGCATTCTGCACGCTTGCTCGAAGCAATTCGCGTCAGAAAGGGATCGCCGCTGATCTATCGAACACTTATTTGTTGTTTCGCTCGCATAGGAAATGCGTAATCGAAAATCGGTACCTGATCTTGGAACGTGCGATCGACGAAATTTTTCTTCGCCACTTGTGTTACATTTTGATTGCATTGCTCCTAAGTAATTACAAGTTGTGATTCATACGTAACATTTATACTCTTATGAAATGTTAACTTGTAATTTCTTATATTTTTATCGATCATTTTATGGCAGCATTATACCGATTTCAAGTAAAATCAATTCAACGTCATATTTACACAGAGATCCGCAGTCTTTTAAAAATGTAAGTGCACGAGCAATCGGCGCAAGTCGCAAAAGTGTCATTTGCATTATTATGTATCATATCCATTACATCAGTTTGACGGACACAAGTTATTGAATTTATTGTCTTGCCATTAAGCTGATTGACAATTACTGTAAACTATTTCACTTGTGTTCACTTTATTTATAGAGTATTAATCAATAGTCAAAAATGTAAATCTTTTAATCACGTTTTAATGTGTCTTATAAATTATATTACTGTCATATGAACATTCTTTTTTTTTTCTTTTAGAAAACACAATTGCCAAGTGCATATACTTATTCAGCGTTGCTTTTAAGCTCGAGATCAATCGAGGGCTTTAGATTTGATAGTCGCTGTTATTGGATAACGGTCTGAAGTAAATATCCGTCGAATATCGTTCAATTTTATTTTAACCGGAAAGTTCTAATATCGAGGGTCATTCTCGAAAGCTAAACTCTCAAGTGAACGGTCATCGAAAACGATCTCTTCACTCCGCTGCTGCCGCCGCGGCGTTTTGATATCAGGAGTCGCGTTCGGAAGGTAAGGCTCCGATATAAACGTTTCTCAAAAGTCACACTTAATTCCACGTTGAGAGTTTCGCTGTAAAGAACTGGCGAGAGCGTTATAAAAACTCCCGAGTGAACAGTCATCTTGGGAAAAAGGGGGAAAAAAAGAGGAAACTTTTGCGGAAGAGGTACGATCGCACGTCCGTGATCGAGGCCGCGCGTGGTGAACAACTTTCGGGACCGCTCGCCCGCGATCGATCGGTCCGCGATCGAGAGCGTCCGTCAAAGCAGGACGACGTGGCGCCTTTCCTACTTCCGGGTCGAACTCATTTAAAGCTGTCGATAACTTTAATCGCGATACATATTCTATTACACCGGCGGTAATCGTAAGGGCTATCTACGGAACGTTACACCGCTCGCACGCGATTGCAGAGCGCAGCGAAGGTGACGGAGAGAAGGGGAGGAGGGGAATGGCACAAACGTGTTAGTTACCCTGACGTGTCAGTGTGCACACATATACACGTGCGAGCGTGCTCGTATATGATACACGTACATATATACACATCACGCAGATTTATTGCCGCCGAAACTGAGGAGTTATGCACCTGATTCTTCGATCCGCGCGAATATTGCCGAGGACTATCGTCACTTGGAGATATGTCTCTTTCTCCTCTGTCACTGTCCGTCTGTCACTGCCCTTCAATCTCCACCGCTCCGTTGTCTGCTTCCCCACCCCTTGCCCCGTTTATCAATTCTCTTTTCTTCTCGTTGTAACATCGATCACGATTTATCTAAGCGTCGCCTGTTCGCAGAGCGCATCTTAATCGGTCGCTGACGATTTGATTCGATAATGCATTCTACATAATTCACTGTTTCTAGAGACTGAAGAAATCAATTTCACGTAAAATTGGCAATTTATTAATCAACTACGTAGCTCAATTTTGCATAGAAGCGAAGAAAATCTAGGGCGCATTGTTTATAGTATCAAAAATAGAACCGAAATTTGATTCTCGATAGAATTAATTCAGCACTCACCGGTCGATATTCCTCGGTGCAACCGTCAACGATCGAGACATGTCCTGCGACGCATGCCTCCTGTCCCGCCTGATTCATCCCTTCTGCGTGCTTCCGATCCATTGATTAGGTCTACGAATTACGAATAAGCCACTCGGGGAAGACGATACGCCGTGATTGGTGGCGGCGGCGGCGACGGCGGCGACTTAAGCCCATTCGAAGTTGTTTTATCTGCGTTAAAATCGAGCGAGCTGTTGAATAACCAATGAAGATTGAAACTCGCGGACCTTTGCCTTAAGCGGAAAGTCGGGTGTGAAATGCACTACGCGATGTGATTTTTTTTCATTGATCGTTTGAAATCGAGGTGACTCGTTCTCGAAAATTTGACAGCCCAGCTGCAATGATGAATCGTGCTGTGGGTCGCGTTCTGTTATTTTTTGCGCTCGCCGGAATTTGCAACGGAAACAACTTCGAGTGTCGATCGCGTAACACCGCACTCCTCGAATACGAATTACGTCGTCGCCGAAGTTGCGACACGCGATCGCGGGGGCGCTGACAGCGTATGCGTCGATCCGATTCTTTAGAATTCCTCGGCTCTTTCCCGCTCTTCTCATCATCACCACCACCAGCATCTTCGGCAGACAATCACGAGCGACACCAGCGGTGACAGGGCAATAGACAGCCGTCGCGGATATGGATCAGCGCTCGAGCTGGCGTTAATCGCCGGTCGTTTCTTGCCGTTGCGGATCGTGGAGGACGGCGTGACGAGCGACGGGCCCATGTGACCGTGGATCGTGTTGTCCACCGCCAGCGCCTTGTTCTCCGCCTTGTCCATCTCCGCCGAACCATACACCGCCTCATCCTCCTCGTCATAGAAATGCGGATACGACACCGTCTGTGTCTTTGCCGGCCCGGAGATCTCTGAAACAGACGGAAGAAACGCGGTTTCGATGGAGAAGACAAAATTAAAAAAAAAAAAACGACTCGCGGTTGTGTGATCAAATTACACGCGCTCTTAGCGCCCATAGTTTTCGGGAAGAAATATCCGCGAACAATGAGGAACCGCTAGGATTGTGCCCAGTGATTATTGAATCGTTAATTAGCAATACAATTTGTGTTATTAAAATATTATAATAAGAGAAATTTATATCTATAATCGATGAGTTTATGATTATGCGGGGGACCTGTAGCGACATGTATCGCTATGACGCTTGAACGAGAGTGAACCAAAATTCCTTCTCTTTATCGTATTGTTTGAAGAAGTAGCGATATTGCGAATTTATCGACGCTTATTCACGAATTCTGGTTCGTGCAAACTTTCTCCACTGAGAATTTCTTGACTAAAGGAAAAAGAGTCGGAGTGCTCGGAAATATAAAACTGCTCGATCCATATGCGTGCTGTTCTTATGCAGGGTTTAATACAAAAGGGAGAGGGATGAATGGTGGACACACGCGTACATCCTTGTGTACAACTTGTCTTCGAAAGTTTCTATCAAACTTCAGTAGAATATTCCGCGACATGAATTTCGACACGGTTGTCCCTCGGTGAAAATCGATCGGATTATCGTTTCTGGCGAAGTTGAGATTTTTGACTTTGCGAAGTTGCGATTAACGGCGGCAGGGAATGGTTGGAAACGCGAAGAGACGAAGCCATTTCGTGGACCGTCAGCTTTAAATTCACGTACGCAAATACGTCGCCCTTACGCCCGACGTGTATCGGACGGAGACTCCGCTCTCGAAATCGATGTGTATCGATGGATCGATAACACGCGACGATTTACGAACGCGCCGGATGTGCTGCACTCGCCAACCTTATCTCCTTAGCTCGCCGTCTCTTACACCCCAGGGAGGGAGAGTTGCAAGCTAGCCGAGAAATCTGACATGGCGCGCGCGCGCGAAAAGATGAGGATTGACCGAAAGGCGTCTGCCGTTGATGCAGAGGCAGATCCCCCGGAGATTTCCGTCCGCAAAGTGACGATGCTTGTAAACGCGAGGCCGTGTTTGCCGTGAGGGGAAAACCCTCTTATTCCTATCATCCCGCGATCAGTCACGACGGTGGAAGGGCGCGCGGGGCGCGCGTTTACGCGTCAGCGCGAGCAACAATTTCCACACCGGGCTGGCTGCCTGCCGGTGGCGGAGGACTCGTTAACCTCGCGACCTACCGCATTAATGTAGGAATAACAGGTCGTGCGCGAGAGCAAATTCCACCCCTTGTCTCACCCCCCGCGGCGGTACGCAAGATACCGGTGTAACCGTGTTACAAGGCGCGGCAAAAAGCCGTTTCCGCGCCGTAATTCGTTCGCTGCGAGTAGTCGAGAGTCTTGTTACACAAATCGTTTAAGATCCTTTCGTTCGTGGCTACGCATAGACCTGTGCGCAGCATTTTCCACCGCTTGCGTAATGCTCCGAAAGTGCTTCTTGCTTCTGACGTCACGCTTTTCTTTGCTAAAACTGAAATCTGGTAATCAGCAGTTGTTCAACGTCGAAGATTACAGAAAGGATTTTGATGAATCAAGCTTGAGAAATGAAAGCTGATGTAACTGCGAACGTTATTCTTGGTTGAACAATATATACATCAATTTTATTTTCGCAGAATCTCGCGATCTAATTGCTGAGCATTTCATCAAGTTTGACGAAAATGGTGTTGTGATTTTTTAGACAATATTTCTTATAAAATATAATTCCGCATGAATTTAATCTTTGGTATTCGCCTGATATTGAGAAATTTTAGAGCCATGTTATCTCGAAGAAAGTGGTTATCGTCAGACTGTGTAGCGCGTAGAGAATTAATTCCGACACGGCACTTATAAGTAGGTATAATAATTCATCCGCGGTTTGCACACGGCAAACTTTTCACCGTCGACCTCTCCCGTGCAATTATCCGCAGGTCTATGCGCAGGTTTTATTTCGCGATACGAATCTTAATCCCTGGCGTTACGACTATCCGAGGAAGGTAAAAAGAAGGGAAAAAGAAAGAAAAGTCGGAGGAATCGGGATTATCCGCAAATGTACACGTGCATTGAAACGAAATGCAGCGCGGATAACGTAATTCTCCCCTCGTTTTGACTGCGTTCCGTCGAGTAATCGAATTACGTATTCTTTATGGGCTCGCCGAGGAACTCCGTTTGATAACGGTCGAAAACGCGCTGTGTACTCACCGTATAATCGAATACTGCTCTCGAACTCGCCGAGGGAATTTTTAGCCGCGCACCGGTACGTTCCCACGTCGTGTTTCTGCATGTTCCGGATGGTGAGAATCATTCGGACCTCGAACGGCGACTTGGGCACTGCCTGAACGTCGTATCTGACGCTGGATATTATCATTGCACCTTGAGAATAAAGCCGAGAACAGCCGATTGATTATTTCGATTTCCGACTAGGTACACACTGTACATTATTGCCCTTTGAGTTTACACACTCGGCAATTTTATTCGATCGTTTTACGCCGGCAACGGTAAATAGAAATTCATTATAAAATCACACAGGAAATTTCAGAGAGTTAATGTTTTATGCAATAGAGAAAAAAGTTCAAGTTTGAAGTAGATTTTACACAAATTTCTTGTGTGGCGTCCACAAAATACAAATTGTAATCATAATTTATACATTTTTTTCATACAATTAAAATTATGCAAAAAGTTTTTTTATTTGTCTGAATAAATTTTGCATCAATTTTTGGAATAAAAAATTTAAATATTATTTTGATTATTCAGTTTTTCTTCGATAACTGGGCGAAGCCTTCGAATATTATGCCACGCGTATTTTTGTTAGATTAATTATATATGCATTTCTCGAAATATTTCGATTAAATTCTGAAATATCTTCATGCACAGCAAATAGTTGAAGGTAAGAGGTTACATCTCTTGCTATAAATAAGACATCTCGCCCGTTTCCTACTGTGCTTTCTTATTACACGTTGAAACAGTTGCATATAATGGGAAACAAGTGAAAGGTATCTTCCACGCGAGACGAAATTGCATACGAATGCATTGGAGCGAGGAACTCGGGATAGCTAAGCGTGTGTTAAACCGGGAGGACGTCTGGCTCTTGCGAGGCGGAATCCACTGCGGGAATATTTCCGCGAGTCTGGATAAGTAGTATTCTCTCTTATATCTATCTAAAGTTTTCTTGAGGAATTCTGAGCCAAGTTATTACACGTCCATGCGATATGTCGCTGGTTGAAACATCAAGCGGTTTACGATACCGAAACAGTTGGCTATTCAAATTGGCTTGCGGTGGAAATACTTTTTGCCGTCATACTTTTAAAGAAGAGCCAAATTTCCGGAAATTTCACTATCTGTGTCGAAAAGTTTTTACATTTTATATTTTATTTATATTTTACATCCCTATATTTCGTCATATTTTGTAAAAAAGAAAAAAACATAACAGATAAAATTGTCTCGTTTTTTTCGTATCATTATTTATTCATAGAAATTTTATTAAGCTTTCAATTATGCGTATAAGTTTTCTCAAAGCTGACGATACGGAAATATAACGATACGCCCCTAGTATCGGAATCGCCTAAACTAAAGTACGGTCCATAATCGGATTTGTCTTGCGAGAGTAATTAACGTTTGAGCATTTCTCTGCGAGTTACAGTCGGTAATTAGTTAACAAACCAATCGTTGCAACGGACTGTACTACTTGCGGTAAACGGTGTGCTGGCCGAATTGCGACTATTTTACGCCGATCGAACTGCATTTGCATGAATTGAAAGATACTCCATGAATCATTATCAACATGAGCATTAACAGCAATGTCACGATTGATATTAATACATGTTGTTGACGGGAAAAAAGGAATCAATTAGTAATATAATTTGAAATGTATATTGGTATATAAATAATATAGATCATTATGATCATATCTTACGATTATTCATGAGAGTACAATCGAAGGAATATAAATGAATATAAATAAATTGTACTATTATGCGTAAAATGACAAAAGAAACTATAATCAAATACATTTACATTCATGTGCTCGTATCGCACTTTCTAATTTATTAAACACGATATTTTAAATTATTCGATATCTCGAATATCGTGATAGCAACCAAAATGCAATTTATAAAATCTAGAATCGATCTACATGCTAGTGATTATGACAGTATAAAAGTAATTCTGATAAATGTACCAATTTAACACAAAACCCTAATGAACAGTAAATGATTAAAAATACAAACAATATATTCCAACGATGCATACTGTTTAACGAAAAAGTCGACGAGATTGATAACAACAAAACACAATATCTTAAATATTGGACAAATTTTTTCTGAAGCCAAATGTCTCATGAATTTAGAATAATTTTATTAGAACGCGTCGATTCTTCGTCAAAAAAAGTGTAATTAGCAAACTTGTAAAAATATTAAAAGAATAATCAAGTGTCCTTTCACCTTTGGGGTCCTTGACCCAGTAGTTAATCGACATCGGAGACGCCTCGACGAAACATTCTAGATCCACGTCGGTCCCCAAGGGCGCCCCGACCAGCTGATTGGGCACGTGAATCATTGGCGGAACTGTAAATCGAAATAGGAAGATACGATTGCATTTCCAGCCAGCGCGGAGGAATCGAAGTACGCGGTATCCGGTTCAATGGCTCGGACAGTAATCACTATTACTCACAATGAACGTTGATGTAAATACGTTTGCTGACCGCGGGCGGTACCCCGTTGCTGGCGATGCACAGATAAACCCCCATCTCGTTTCTCGTGATCTTCGTCAGCTTCAGCTCCTCGCCGTGAAACTCGAGCACGGAAGACACTGAGAACGGGTAGATGTTAGAATCGAATAAGACTGAGAGCACACACCCATTCGGTGTACAGATCGCGCACGCTTTTCCCAATTTCTGTTCTTTAAACAAACTAAAGTTAATCTATTGAGCTGAAAATAAGTTTCGATTCAAGTTTCGAGCAAGCAAATTTGTTCTCATAATTTATTCTTATATTTTATACAGTACATGAATAATTAGATATAAATTTAAATTTCAATAATTTTCAGCAAATTAAATATTAATTACGAATTCATATTACAATATACATATAATACGGTGTTTAATAATTTTTTATTTTGAAGCAAATAATGCTTATGCAAACGAAAAAATTTAATTGATGAATGATTAATAAAAACTAATATTTGATTCGAATCACTTTCGATAAATTCGATTCATTGATAATTGGAAACAATAATTAACACAAAATTAGTAATCAACTTGAACACGCTTCTTTGCTCTCTTAAAGCTAATTTTCTTCTGAGAATCAAGATTAATTAAGGCACTTGTTTTTATATCGTTAGCGGACGCTAGTCGACAAGTTATTGTCCCTAGCTATTGTTATTTAATGGGAAGCAACCATTAAATATGGACGAACAGAAAAAGAACGTAAAGCGAATGACCTATTACAAAAGCGATGGTCGATAATCAATAAAACGACAAACGCGCTTAATGATATTATATTCACGCTAATTATGCTTTGCCGATATTTTATTATAGAACATGTTTCATTTTTGCATGTTACATATTGTTACGTATGCTAAATATATTTTAACGAATTCTTAATCACAATTTGCAAATTTATACATACGTTTAACAGTAATTTTAAAAAAACCACTAAAACAATATAAAAATTAACTCGTCGAATGCTGATTAATTTCTTAAAAGCTGTACTGTGGATTTGGGTAAAAAATGAATTGTTAACAGAATAAAAAAGTAATACAAACGCAATAGTTTCGTGAAATTTTATACGCGCATGTTGAAAAACGTATTAATAAAAATAAGTCTGTTTATTAAATTACGTCTCGTATATCATTCATTTTGAATATACATTCTTGAGTATATTCAGATGCAGGCAACGAAATGGCGCGCGCGGATAAGACGAGCGCAATTTGTTGCACCTGTACCTGTACTGCGGAATATCGTAAGCAAACGCACGAGCCCTCCTCACCTGCGGCCTCGTTACGCCACGTAGTAGTTCAGCTCGCAAAAACATCGATTTTCCCAAAGATCTCAAGACACACTCGTGTTTTCCGTCTCGCGAATTAATTACGTAGTACCAACGTGAGCGTTTGCGTTTTGCTCGCGTCCTAAGTTGCGCTACGAACTTAACCGAAGTAGCATAAAGTCTCAACGAACGACGCGACTCGTTCTCCATTCAACGGAAACTAATTCCTTGCAAGTAATATTTTATTCTTTATTCAATGTCTGGAAATTAGTTTTCCGAAAATATATTTCGGAGCAAGAAGTATAAATAAAAGATTCAATGGATAAAATCCATCAGGCGCAATTAAAGAAGAAATTTAAAAAATGAAAAAAAAAGGAAATGCATTTTTTAAAAGCTATTAGCTTGTCAAAAAGCTATTTTCTACTAGATGATATTTTTTTGAATATTGAATAACAGAGAAGAATTCTAGACGCGGAATTTTACGACTTTCGAAAATGCAGTTTATAAGGGAATCAAATCCAAAAATTATCATCGTTCTTCTATGCTCCTTTTTCCTCGATAGTTTAATTTGCAAAATGTTCGCACAACGTTAATTAAAATCGCGGTGATCGTGCGACTAAAGCAGAGACTTTTCCGGCATGACCCCGATAATCACTGCGATTGTAGTGCCGACAATAAGCCGACCCCGAGTCGGGTCGTCTAGAAGTGCAGAGTCGCGCCCGGCATGTGCCACCACCGGTTACAGCGGCATGCATCCTTGCCGCGGACCGCGCCGACAGTAGGACGAAATTTGCGTGCTATTAGTAACGCCGCGCTGAAGTGAATACTAAATACGTCGTTTAGCCAAGACTGACGCGGCGAAGGTGCGGCGGAACAATTCGCTTGGTCCCCGACAACCAGCGTCCGACCATTTTACAATTGTCATCGAGCGTCAAGGAACAGGAACGATTTTATTCTGTTACGTGTTTTGCGTCGGACTCTCTTTTCATCTGTTCGATATGTAGTGTTAACTATGCTTCGAAATTGATCGTAAATAAAGTATAGAAAAAGAAATAAACGCCGGACAGATTATACTTTGGTAGGAATTTGGTAATTAATTCCGAGATATTTCATTCGAATAATTAGCAAAAGAAATTAGTCGCAAGAAGAAATTATACCAAAGGTGATTCTTGATAAACTACAATGTCCTATTTTAATCGATATATATTTTCCTATTTCAATATGAATAGAAATTACGGGAAAATTTCCCCAACGAAGATAGACGCGCGTATATTCCATAATTGGTCCGATATTAAGCGCTGTAAAATTCGACATTACGCTTAACGATTCGCAGAACGACGACGGCCGACCATTGAGCAGAAGTCGCGGCAGAAGGCATCATCGCGGAACATCAGCCGAATCGGTTTCCCGGCGAGATTCGTCTTAAAGTCCGAACCACGGTTCGTAATGAGGAAATTTGAATACTAACGGGATCGCAAAACGCGCGCGCGCGCGCGGCATGCGCCCGCCTTAAGGAAAACATAATTGTATATTCCGCGCTATATCGGCGGAACGGCACGGTGCGGCGCGGCGTGGCGCAACGGGCGTACCATCTATATTAAATCTTACCGTGAGATTTCTGGTTCGGGGCGCTTCCTGCAAATGGCTCCCGAATTATAATGTTCCTGCCGTCTTCTCGGCGCCAGGATACGCGCGGCTCTGGTACGCCTCTCGCCCGGCACGTTAACTTCACCTGTACGTGTTATGAAACCGGAATTATAAAGAGAAGCGAGTTCGTTATTGCACTCCACTAATGCCGTGCTTCATCCAAATATATTTGGAGGAATAAAGGAGTGAGACGCGGGCGAACGCTCGCGCGCGCGCGCGCACGGCCTCCGTCGCTATGTAAAACACGTACGCGCGCGAGGACGCTTGTCCGAAACAATGGCGGCTTGCGCGGATAGTCGAGTGGAAAACGAATCTATGGTTGCGAGAGGCATGAAATATCCCGGCGCCCTGGAATACCAGGGATTTTTAACGGTTACTTGCTCTGTTACGCTCGCGCGGTCAATTTTATCGAATCGCCTCGAATTCTCGTTAACCGATGTTCAATTTAACGATATTTTTGCTTTTGAACCGCTTTAATAATCGAAGCAATCCAAGGTTATTTTTAGATGAATGAGGCCAGATACTAGTCGATCGAATTTCGACATTTATCAATAGCGCGTTCCTGCATTTAGATCGATCAATTATGAATATCGGTCAGATTCTCATCAGTTACATAGTTATGGATTTTCGAAGTGAACGGCAGGCGGCTACGAATTGCGAAACACGTACGCGAAATGAATATCTGCGTGCTTTACAATGGAAAATATAAGCGGCATGTTGACAATTAACGACACGACACGTGTCGCAGCATACTGCGCTGTTTGTTAGCTTGCGTTCCACTGACACGCTGTCTGCCAGCTTGCAATATCTGTGACGTTTTTAGATGAACATCGTGTTAGCATGGATCCGAGGTGCGACTTGAGTTATTTTGCAATAGTTCACGTGTCTTTGAAAAAGAGTAAAGCAATTACGAGCTCCTTCATTCCTCCAAAATATTTTTTTCACATACATATATTTAAGCTTTAAAGAGATGCATGGAGTAATTTAATAAAGAATGTGTAATATTCGTCAAACATTTACTATATCGCTTTTATACTTGTTAATGATTATTTAAACAAAATCAAATATCTGTCATAATATTTTCCTTCTTTTTTATTCATTTCATAACATTCTCATTTATTGAAAATACCTCCCGAAAATTTCACCAAATATTACAATCCAAACAAAACATGCCGATCAATATCTTATTAATATATTAATTTTACAAAATTATTTCATTATTATTAGTACCTGACTTGCCAACATATTATTGATTTCATTGAAAAGATGGAAACGTAAATTAACAGTATATCGATTTCCGTCAGATTTTTTTTAAACTAAACTTGTACATACACACACACACACACTTTCGAAATAAATAATGACACACACACACAAGAGCTGAAGATATAAAAGTCCCAAAGCATCCGAATAATTTAAAAAACGTGTGTATAATGTCTTTGACAGAATATTAAACTTTCTTTGGAAAATATTGTTCCAAGAGAATTTAGAAAAACTTGCATGAGCGAAGAGGGTTTCGCGTTTTACAGGGAATCTTATCAATTTCGAATCAAGGCCGCAAGTAGGCCAAGAACAGATATCCTAAATGTGATATCCTATTGCTAGAAGAAAACGAGTTTGAAAGTTGTAATCCCACATATTGCGATTCATTCAAGTACAGCGTAAAAACACGACGCTTTGCACGACGGCGAGTGAGATTCGTGAAAAACCTGCGAGTTCAGGGGTTTTCGGATTTTTAGATTTTTATATACGAGAGAAGAGACGCGCGAGAGGCGCGCCCCGTTAATAACAACAGTTATGGTCCGACAAAATTACTTATTTATCTCAATGGACACTGCCGGTACCGTCAGGAAACGATTCATAAAGCCGAATCTCGATTAAAATTTAAATTTTTTATCAACTTTATCCACCACGCCGGTCACAACGGACATTCCGACACTTTTTTGGCTGATCGTAACGCGACGGCTGACAATCATGTTTCGAGTCTATATTGTATTCATTAAAAGTATCAAATTAAAGAAAATTATACTCGATATGAAACAAAAATTATTCAGCAAATTAACTGAAATTACTTTGCACACTGCAATATTCATTTTAATATTCTATTTTTTAATATTTGCCTGAGAAAGAAAAACGTATGCAGCGTGTATAGCGTTTTATAAAAAATATTAAATAAGATTAAACTTGACGCGCTAATACGCTAATATGTTAATAAGTTTATGTCGGTAGCAAAAACTTTTATGCAGAAACGAGCGAGGAATTAGATTTTATGAATTAATGATGATTTTTACATTTCGAAAAAAAATAGAAACACGCAATGTAACTGCTGGATTTTTCGAATAAATAAACTGTGTCTATCGGAGACACACAGTGCCGTTACGGCAAAAATAACACGGTATTTAGACATAAGTTCCGACGATCTCGTCGAAAGAGATAGAAAGTAACTTACACAAACTGACAGCAGTACAATTTTCAGTATACCAACCGCGGGAATAGGAGGACTTCGCAATGCGCCCCGGTATAATTTCAAAGTTTAAAATGGTCCACGATGGTCGCTCTGGCGGAACTGTCGCGTCTTCGTAAAAGCGCCCTGTCAGACATTCTGAGAGGAGCGCAATATTCTTTACTCGAGCGACACCTTCGCGGCGAGGCGCGCGGAAAAACGCACGGCTGCAAATTGCACGGCTGCCACGGAATATGAATTGTGAGCAACAGGTCACTTATTTTCGCTGATGGCTTACTTACAGTATCCGGCGCGCGAACGCCGAGGTCGACTGTAACACGCGTGATCGCGTCCTCGCAATTATGCACGAAGAATTGTCAGAGTGAACGGACGAGCTTACGAGCAGTTAGGCTTAAAATGTATTACAGATCACTTTATTTTCCCTTCATATTGTAATTACCGGAATAACGCACTTCTTTCTGCTTTGAAATATGTACTTTGAAAATTTTGTAAAGCTATAATTGAAATTATTAATAATGGAAAGTTTAATAATAATTATGGGTCGGTTTTATATGACGCCTTAATGTTGAAATATCTCTTGCAACAGGTGTTGCAAGTTGCAATTACGAAATCGCTTATAATATTATGAAGTGCATCGCGACATTATGTTTGCTTTTTACGTCAGTTTAAATTATAGCCGGTGTCTTCATAAATACGACAGTTAGTTTATAAACTGAAGGCAGGCGCATCGATAAAAGGCGAGAAATATACTCATATTCAAAGTTAGTAACATTTTTAATTTGGATATCCATAGACTTTCGCTAGTAACACCAATCCCATGTTTAAGGCGTTAATGACGACGAATGGCTAAAGTTGCAAGTTATTTGTGGGCTCAGCCGCTACATTCGTGGCGTATCGCAATTCTCCGATATAGATTTCGCCGGCATGAATCACGTGGAATAACGTTGCCCTGATAATTTACTACACACGTAAATCAGCCCACATTTGTAAGTAATAAACCGTCGTTTATTCATGACGGGTTCTGCGCGGGGTAAATTATTTAACGACCTCCGGCCTAGTCAAGCGCCGTGGTGCATCTTTCTTCCTGGCATATTTATTCGCAAATTTATTTCCCGCGCGGCCGGATGCTTCGGGGATTAAGTTGAAAGTTAATTGTCGATTGCGAGTGACATTTGATCCAAGTTGACATCGTATCTCAAAGATTAGCAGCAATGTAAAAAATAACACTTGTTTTTTTTTAATTATTAGATCGCAATTAAATTGCAATTCGTAATAATTAAAGATTTTTTTATAACCCAATGGCATAAAAATTATAATGACGTAAAATAAAGAAAAAAAAGTATTTACCTGATTGCCCTCGCCTACCATCACGTCGCTCGATGTAGCTTCAGAATCGAAGTCAGGTGGTTCAACAATCGACAGCATACCTGTCTGGAGAAAACAGATGATTTAGGATTAGCATTAATTTACGGGATTCTGCAAATAATAGCAAATTCATGCACTATTATTTTATTAATGGTGCCATTTTATTTTAATTTTGCGATAAAACTGAATTATTTCTGTTCTTCCGTGCCTAAAAAGTTCCCATTTCGCTCAAGTGAAAAATTTACATTTGCTCTTACATGAATAATACATTACGATTTTTTTATGACAAATAATTCACAATTTCGTATAATACGAGCGGAACTATTTAAATGTGAATATTGCTATACGTGCGGCCCGTCTACGCCAAGTTTTTCATGACCGGTTTCGCGAATTTTAATTAACATGTACATATATGTGAATTAACTTTTGTGGTAATGACTTGAGAGAAAATATGGGGCGTACAACGAGTCTGATTATGCCTCTGATTTCAATTATTTTTCCGCAAAACCGTAATACGTGCATACAAACGAAAAGCGTATTTTTTCCCATTAATATAATACGGCGTCGCGAATGTGGCTCATCCGACATGCGGTGTTGATAACGGCAAGCGAATCAGAACTGATGATATATACGCACGCTTTATTTCCCTCGTCGCGGCACATGGCGCGACTATGGAGACAGTATTTGAAATAGCCAGGTGTATTCGCGGCGGACGAACATAAATAAAAGCGCGGAATTAATGAAAACAAGCGTATTTCTATGCGAAAGCGCGCTTGACCACCTGAGAGATTAATTTAATAATTGCGCTTGAAAAGAACATGATATTCCAACATATTAAATTCGATTCTGCATACAAAGCTGTTCGCAGTTTTATTAGTCGTGCATCATTTTTTTTTTTCCCCCTCTTTGTGAATTAGTGAGCTGCAAGGTACAGCCACAAGGCAGTTGGATAACACGGGTGATCCTAAATCTCAAGTGTCTTGCTCTATATACCTTAGCCCGACATTGGTAACATATTACGGCAGCTTGCTGGCGTTGCCGGTGTGTGTCGTTATTGTGCCGGGTTATTCGTTAATTAACGGCGCGCAATAGTAGCGTCAAACATCATAACTAACAGTCGGCGCAATCATTATTGCACACCGCGATGCCTAGTAACGTGGCATGCGTGAGCGTTTGAAAATTATAGCTGTCAATATATAACAATTCACTCATTTTATTACTAATATTTAAATCTAAATTACTAATAATTAAATATAAAAAAAATTGTTTTTATATTGAACGTAACACGCCTTCACCTATTTGTTAATTCTGCGTCCGATTTGTGTCGGACATCTAAATACACCGCTGTAAATTTATTATTTTCCAACAAATAATAATTATATTTGAAAAGGAGTGTGTATATTTTTTTAAA